CTTTACGTATGGCTGGCTATATAAATTTTGAATAAGATTTCCAGGTGATTTTGGTGCGTGCTCCTTTAGAGAATAAACAGTCTACACCCATGTTCCCATATTGGTGTTCAGATTCTAGGTGCTCTGTTCTGTTTTACTGGTCAATTTTTCTCTCTGTGCTAATTCCATCCATCTTAATTACTAAAGTTTTAGATACTTGTTAGGGAAGGTTTTCCCTCCTCTTCTAAAGGAGGCTCTTCCTTATCCTTGGGCTGTTGCTCTTTCATATAAATTTTAGAATGAGCTTATCAATTTTCACCAAAAAACTACGGTGAGATTTTTAACTTATAGGTTAACTTTGGGACAATGGACATTTTTGTGGCATGGAGTCGTCTTATCCATGAAATATTTTTCCAATATTTTTATGTCATCATTGTTTTTTATTTATATTTTATAAATTCTTCCATACAAATCTAATAAATATTTTACCACTGATTTTTAATGCCATCTTTACCATATGTGAAGTTATACATAATACTCTATGCCTACACCAAAACTGCCTTGTTTGAATTCTTCAAAGTAATTTCTCAGTAAGTCCTGTTATTTTATAGGAAACATGTCCTCCACCGCAACTTTTGCAGGCTGTTTGCCAACCTCTGGTTTAAGTGATCATGATGCATGTTTGAGTATAGATCCCAGAATATTTTTTAAAAAACCATTTTTTCATTTAAATGAAAAGATAACCATTTCAGCCAATGTGTAGCTACAGGGTTTTAAAATTCATTTAGATTTATCACAGCCCTTTACTTATTCAAAAGTATTTATTTCCACAAATTTTCACCTGTAGGCGAATATTACAGTGACCAGTACAAGCATTTTTCTATAAACAAATGGTGTAAATCACAGATTTGTTCAACATGGAAAACTATTGCTAGTGTTCCTTCTGCGATGTCAGCTTCAGCCCTGAATGCGCGAGCCCTGCAGAGAGGCAGCCCTTCCTGGACCGTCACTTGGAGGGACAGTACTGCCGCCCGGCCTGGGCCGCTGTGCTCTGGGATCGCTCCAGAAAGAGGCTCCGACGCACTTCTCATTGGTGCCCTTTACTAGGGTTAGAATTGTTTTAAGGAAAACATTCTTTAGTATCTAAAGACCTTTATAATAAGATTAAAAAAAAAAGTCTTACATTTTATTGTCCTTTGACATCAGCCTCTATTTTTCTAATTACCATCCTAATTCTCTAATCACGGCACCAATGTGCATAAAAGGTTAATTGATGGCTATTTGGCTCATGCAGCAAATTAGGGAAACTGACTGCAGAGAAATATTCTATGAGGAAAAACTACAGGGTCGTGCCCCGTGCTACCACGTTTTAATAACTGTTTAGTAGTCATACAGGCATCATACAAGGGTTTCAATTCAGGACACCCTTGCTGCCTTAGAATTAGGTTGATTGTATGAAAACAATTAAATTTTCCATATGCCAAAGAAATTGGTCGCTATCATGTTAATGCATTATTTGAGGCTCTAAGTAAATATTTGAGGAGAAACTCCTATTGACATGTTCCATGGAAAGGGGAAAAAAGTCTTCTGCGGGTGTAATAGGCTTGCCAGGTACCATCCCCGCACCCGCAGGCGCGCTGGCATGGACAGAATGTGTGTCGGGTCACCGACTTGGGTGCCTCTCCGCCTCAACAGCAATTATTAATACAACGCTTAAAACAAAATTGTTCAATCTGTAAATACGTAATCTTTAAAATACTTCTGATGTTTCAAAAGACAAAATTCCACCATGATATTATGTCAGCAACAGTTCAGAGAAATAAGTGATAAGTCAGTTATCTTAGTAACTGCTAAAGGCACATACTGAGAAAGTGTCAACTGAATAATAAGTGTTAAAAAATAAAAAATAAACATAGATCTTTAGGGCAGAGTTTAAGCCTTTATGTTGAATTAAGTTATTTAAATTAAAAATCATTGATTTCATGAAGTTGGAAAAAGTTTGAGTTGAACTGACTTAAAAATGCAAAAAATATAAATGCTAACAAAGGATTTTTAAAGTTTCCCTATAGATGCTTCTTAGTAGCCAATTAGTGGCCTATAAAAGACTTTTTAAGTGTATATAAATTAAGTAGCTTCAGTGAAATACCTTTATCTTTTGGAAGAGAACCAAATCGGCCGTCTCTTGGGCTAAGTAAAGGACTATTCATAAGTTTTCTCCCATTTGTTCTAGTTGCCAGGCTTTTATTCAGCAAGTCCTTGGGACCTAGTGATGAACCAGTGCCAGGAGAGGTAGTGACCCTAAGAGATGGAGGGGAGGGTGTAAGACAGTCTGTAGGACACTAAGCTGCTGCGCACTTGGAATCCCTGCTTTCAAACCCTTCAGCACCCCACCAGGCCATTTTTGGTTATCCTGAAGATAAAGGACGGTCCTTACATGAGAGACTGAGCTTTACAGTGTAGGAAAAAGTAAGTTATACTTTATAAACAACTTTAAAAAGAGGGAGCCACAGACCCCCCTTGGTCTTAGACTGGCCTTCCAAACACAGTGAGTGTGTGGGCCGAAGGAGCGTGTCCTGCATGTCAGATCATGTAGCTGTAACCGGGAGAGGAAGCACCGCTCTGCGCAGACCCCCAAGAGAAGTCCGGTGCTTAGTGCGGAGGTTGAGGGGGTAGTGCTGATGGCAGATGTGGCCATGCTGGGCTGCCGTCTTTGCTCAGGTGCTGTGCTTTTTTCCGCCCAGTGGGCAAGGAGAACGGCCAAGGAAGCTGCGCTGTAAGGGCAGAGTTCACACGATTGTTTAGTGCCGGGAGTGCGTTGTTTCCAGGAGACTTTTAAGGTGGGTGGCTGTGTCAGAGAAGGCGGTGTGCATCTGGCGGGGTGTTGTGTAATTCACGGAGAGATCTTATCTTAATATATAGGGGCTCTATGATTTACAAACACCATCTGTTCATGTCGTGGAAACAGCATGCTGTTATCTACCAGAATTACGGAATAGTAGTAAAAAAGTGTGTGTAAAGAATGTGTAGGGTTTTCTAATTGAATGTCTGCTTTTGAAGAGATGAAGAAAAATTTGTAAAAGCAGCAAACATATAGCCTGGTTGGGTGGCTCAGTTGGTTGGAGCATTGTCCCATACACCAAAAGGTTGCAGGTTCGATTCCTGGTCAGGGCATATGTCTAGGTTCTGGGTTTGATCCCTGGTTGGGGCATGTATGGGAGGCAACTGATCAATGTTTCTTTCTCCCCATTCCTTTCTCTCTAAATTCAATAAACATATCCTTGGGTGAGGATTAAAAAAAATAAAGTAGAAAACATAAAATCTGTTGTAATATTGTCACCAAATACTCTTAATTTTTATTTCAAAGCAGAGATATTTGATTTTTATGTGGTAAATCTGAAAATATTGAAAATAACAAGAAAAGGGAGAAAGTTGACATACGTCATTCTTTCTTTAAAAAGAACACACACACACACAACCACCAAAATCTTTTGGATAGTAACTTAATCCCTGAATTGTTATTTAGAAAGGTTTTTCAAATAATCCCATTCTCAAGATGGTTTGTTTTCCTGTATTATTTTGGTTTTCTGGACTTACCAGTGCATTATGTGATGTTCTTATTGGAGGTTTAATGGCATTAAAGGATTCAAGGCTTTTATGCTGACTTGTTTGGTTTTTAATCTGTATATAAAGCAAGTCATTACTCCTTTCTGACTTTTATAAAGATTTGTGTTGACTCAGTTAAATACGTGGACTAGCACTGGAAACATTTTCTTCCTGCTCACATTTTTAGTTTGGGACAGCCGCCTTTTCAGCATAACTTCAGTAAACTCAAGACTACACAGAAGGGTCTAGCACATTAGGAATTGTGTCATCTAGTTTAGCTTCAGAAACCAGTACTCAGAACGTCTGGGCTGGAGGTCAGCTGGAGCATTGTCTCTGCATCACCAGGCATTAAAAAATACCTCTGGGAAATTTCTCAAAAGGCCCAGGCCGGTATTCTTGCTCTGAAAACATTTCCCCACAAACCGCTCCACACCTGTAATTTGCACACACTGTGTGAAAGTGTCATGGTTTTTACTACCATTATTTGTTAAAGGTCCTTTGAAGGCAACTTACGTGACTTACAATATTTTTCATATTTCATTTTGTATACTCTTCAGATTGAAACTAGGCAGTTTCCGTTTTATAGACTGGCACCTTTGATATGGTCATGGAGGGAGCCTGGTGGTATAGGTTATAATGTGTGTTTGTTTATACCGAAATCACACTTTAAAAAAGTCACATTTCAAGTGTTTTTATTCTGAGCAGTAGGTACAAAAAATAATGACAGATGTCTTATTCTGCATAGTTCCGCGCTCTGCACATCCCCTCAGGCTGACTTAATCCACGCTTACAGATCGAACAGATCCTTAAATCACTTCACTGTGTACTTCCTTCTTGCTCTCGTTGGCAGTCGCGCCGGAGTTGGAAATGTGCATTGTCAGACTTCATTGAGAAACTCCAGGTTGAGACACGCCGGGATGTGGATTGAGTCCATAGTCAGTGAAGATGGATTAAATGGGAACAAAACGGGAAACATGTGCTTATAGTCTAACAGCAGCTGCTGAGCATCATTCCGCTCTTGCAGTTGTGCCTGTGGGGAAGGACAAGACAGTGTAAGAAACTTACTACCCCTACAGCTTGCCCGCTTAGGGGAACTCAGGAGGGTGACTTGGCGCGAATCATGGAAGCAGTGCCGGTAACCGGGTAGGACTGCAGGAGAAAGTGGTCTTCCCTCTCCCTGAGGTATTTAGCAGTGAGCGAAGCCCTGGTTTAGGCTTGTTGGAGGTCAGATGACTAACCTTGCTCCTAATTTTAGCATTCTTTAAAAAATTTTCCATCTAAGGGAGAAGAGAAGAATACATGTCAGGTGCAAAGCATGTGGCAAGTCAGCGTGCTAAGGTGGTTAGGGCCACGACACTGACACCCTGGGCGGGTCCTGAACCTTCCTGTGTCTCACTTTTCTTCTCTGTCAAATGCAGTGGGAAGAGTGAGGCCACATCAAGTGACAGGGCGGCAGAATGAAATAAAGAAAATGCGACCCATCTGTAAAGTGATCCATGAGAGACTCACTTTAGAGACAAAGAGATTGAAAGGGAAAGGGTGAAAAAGATCCTCAAGGTCGACACATTCTGCCCATACCACCCAAGCAAATGGTTTGCTCTGACGCCAACTTGTATTTACCCTCCATCAGGTATGCACAATCTAGAGGGACAGCATGGGTTGTCCCACCATGTCCAATGAAACAAACTATAGTTGGAAAAACAAACAAAAAAATTTGGCAGGATTGCAAGTGTGCAGTTGACTGCTGAGGAAGACTGAGGGGCTAACTGTGGAATATCTTCAGAGACTATCTGACCTGCTTCAGCTACCTTTCCCCTCTGCCGCTAATTCAAACTTGAACTCCGACTTGGCACGTATCCTTTCACCTTTGGTCAAAATTCCACTTCTGTAAACAGCACGCTTGCCAATTTATAAGCAGTCACATTAAAAACAACCCAGACTTTCTAAACTCGTACTTTGGTTTGTGTAAATCATAAAAATCAGTAGTGGGTCAGGTTCCATTGGCTTCTTTTCTGTCATCCAACTCTGCCTCCCTTTCAGCAGTTGACTGTGTGTCCTGATCCCTGGACCCTTCCCATCGGTGCCCCTGGCGGTTGAGGCGGCCACGTGGGTGAGTCTCTGCCTGCTTCTCCCCGTGGCCAGGATCGTGACTGCTCCACTGCACCTAAGAGAACAACCTTGGACCTGACTTGACATCTCTCCCTTGACCTTCAGCCTCTATTCTCTGCTTACACATGCTGCTAGAATTAATTTATTCTTTTCCTTTTTCATGCCCTGATCACTTTCCCCCATTTCTTTTTATCCTTGTTTTGTGCTGTCATCCATTCACTGGCTATAGAGGCTGTTTAAAAGCCTGAGAAAGCATTGTGTCTCAAGGGGTTTCCCATGTATAGTGGAGAAATGTTCATGGTTGAAGTAATCCCGGCATGACTGAGCATTCCGACGCTGTCAGCTGTAGGCACACTAAAGGTTAGGCACCAGCCAAAATCACCTCCGGCCCAGTGCGAGGAGGCTCATCTTTAAGTTAAAAATTCCCATCATCTTAGGACAGATTTAAATAATCATTTCCCCGATGTTTTCTTTTGAGCATATTCCTAACGGCAAATATAATTCTTACAGATAAGATATAAGAGCTCAAATGTTTTCTTAAAAGAATATTTCTAGTTCCATTCTTGAGTAGGGTTGATACTCTGCTTGCTTTGTTAATTTCACTTGGTGCTATATAGTTCAGTTATTTGCTAGTGGCAAATGAAATAGACTATGTCTAATATCTGAGAGGCAGAGATCATGAAAGTTCAGTCTTCTGTGTGTATATACGTTATCATGGGTGATATGATTCATTCTTACCTAAAATTGTAAGGCCTCTTGTCATGTAATTAACCAGTATTTTATTAATAAACACAAGGTTAAAAAACTAAACTTTCAATTTCCATTCTTAGTTTTAGACTAGGACTTTAAAACTCACCTGGATTGTTCGTATAAAGCCCACTGTTACGCGCTCTTCAAATTCATTCAAGGGAGTATAAAGGTTTAAAATTTTTACAATCTGTTGGAATAAAAGAGGTTGAGCACAGAGCTAAAATGAACATGGGAACACTTTTTGATTTTAAAGACTAAATGATACACAGGAGTCCAGCCCTCTTTAGGCAGGACCCCCGCCTCAGAGGTGGCCTGGCCTGCCGGAGGCCACGGCCGGTCCCCTGGAGTTTGCGCCTTGTCTGGGCGGCCTGGGCCACCTTCTTGCCACATGCCTATCTCTTGCCGCACCCCTCCCGCCCCCCACTCCATGGCTTAGAAAACAAGGATCTTAGGAAACCTGAGATCCTCAACCTCTTACCTACTACTGGTAACTTACAGGTTTCTTCAAAAAGAGTACTGGGGATCCCACCTTAGAAAACAAAGGTCTTGCTTAACTGCACCTTCCTACCTCCTACGACTCCCCCGAATCACTTATAAAGGAACAGATGTTTTTCTTATTTGGAGGATAATCTTACTCCTAATCTTATTTGGTGGAAGGAGCGGGCCGAATGCAAATCAATGCCATGTGCATTCTGGATAAACTTAATATATTTCGGGGGCGGGGGGGGGGCGGTTGGAAACTTTGAAAAATTTCGGCACATTTATAGAAGGGAAGTAGTTTTCTTATGAGCTGAGTTTGAATTTTTGTTCTTTAGGTGCTGGAGAGGAAGAAGCTGTGATTTAATTTAGGAAATTAAATCTGATTTCCTGTGCTGGTCTCATTTCGTGAGACCACCTCGTGGTAGCCCATTTCTAAACAGGCACAGCCCCCGGATGGAGGGCAAGGTCAGCCTGCACGTGGACAGGACTCATCTTTTCATATACAAGTAATATCTCTGCAGCCCAGTCCTATGAGAAATACAGTTTGGGGAGAAAGGAAAGGAGCACTTAAATGCCCCTGGGTGCTTAATGATTTTATTTAAAACGATATAAATAAATTATAGGTTAAAACTGAAATTATAAAGAAAGCAATTTATTTAATGCTAAATGCCTGATGCTGCCAATGTCTGAAAAAATTTAAATTTCTAGGTGAGAAACATTCCAGAGTTCATTGTAAGCGTTTAAAAAATATTTATACTTCAGGCTGATGTTTTGTGGGTTTATTACCTTCTCTAAGTGAGCAAGGGGAAGCAGAAAGTGGGAAACAGTGGCATCTCATTTCACCGACCAAAGTGGTCTTTGATTCACTTAGGAACATTCCCTTGGCTGCAACTTCAGAATTGTACCGTTAGGTGTACCAAAGCCTGGGAGTGCAACTCGAAAAAAAACCCAACCCACTGGCAAGAACAGACTTGGGATGAAGCTGGTCTTGCTCCGGGCCCCGCATGGTGGGGTGGGGACGCGGGGACCGACCTGCTGAGTGCTGAGGGAGGTGCAGAGGGAGCAGATGGCCTCGGCGTCCTCGGGGGTTTTCTTCTTCAACTGCAGGAGCTGGGCTGCTTGGATCAGAGGTTCCATGGTTTGAACTGCTCCACTCTGGTGAAGGTTTCTTCCCCGAAGCCACTCCTCAAGCTGACTTATATTGTACCTTAAACGGAGGTAAAAGCAGGCTGTGTCAGACCGGTCCTCCCGACTGCCTGCGATTGCACGCCTGTTGCGTATATTTTGTAGCCTACTACTGTTCGCCTTCTCGCCTTGCGCCCCACAGGGGCCAGCGTTTGAACACTGCCAGGCACTCAGTAACTTTCTACTGAATGAATGGGTGCCTGAAATCAAAAGATGAAGTACTGAAGGTGTCTGTGTAAGCTAATGGGAAGAAGAGCCATTAAATACGTTGAATTAAAACAACTAATATTTAATATTCACCAAATACAGCGTGAGGGCAAAAGCAGTTTACAGTTGTGAGTGTGTGAAACAGTTTATTGTTGTATTATTATTTCCTAATTAATGCATTTTCCATATGAACAACTGTGAACCTACTTTTGCCCCATCCTAGGTTTCTACTTCTACATGAGCCTTCCTGGCACTTAACACATCGATTTTTCTTTTTGAGCACTCTATCCACATTGTGTTTGCAATCTTTAAATTAGAACATGTCAATGTATTTAACCTTTGAACTACTTTGTTTACCAGGTCACCATCTCAGTCTTTGATGAATTCCACCAACACATTGAAAGGTGATGGGTTTGAGCTGCACACTGACTGGGACAAGGACTACCCAGTCAGACTTGCATTTCACTTTCAGAGGCCGTGTCTCATGTGCGCAGGCGCCCCCCTACCTGAGCTGCATGCCTGTGCTCCACGAGCAGACGTCCTTCCGCAGGAGCAGGTTGTTGAGCGTCACGGCAGTGATCATGTAGAAGAGCTGTTTGAACACCTGCAGGACGATCTCGGGGTCCAGGCCCTGGTCGCACATGATTGTGTGAAAGGAATTCATCTGGCGGACGATGGCCTCCAGGCAGTAGGAGTTGTCCCCGTCCACCATGCTGGAGGAGCGCTTCCGGTAGCCCGTCGGCTTCATGCCAGACAGGCCCTGGATGCTCTCATTTTCCAACATGGCTGAAACTGGAAGGGCGACATCATTACAGAAGCTCGTGTGCTCCCCAGAGGTCTGTTTCTGGACCGCTGAGGTCCTCTAGTGCTCAGGGCTCTGGCGATGATACCATCCGGAGGTGTACAGTGTCGACATGCTCACGACTTACAGCACTCAGCAGAGAATTTCTAATGTGCCGGCCTCCATATGGACTACAGAAGCTGTTGGCCAAACTTTCACTTCAATGTACCAACTCGATTCTGTGCTGGATTCTGTGCTAAGGCTCCAGTTTGAAAATTGAGAAACTGGGACGTCCTGGCCCTGCCGCTGGGTCCTGGACCCAGAGATCATCCTGCACCTGTCCAAAAAGCTCTTCTCCATGAGCCACTGACCATGCATCTGGTCAGTCACAATTACTGCACAGCACTTGCTATGTGCCAGGTGCTTTGTGGTCAGTGTTTCTTTTAATTTTCCAACAACCTACTTGCTGATGAGGCCATTGATGAGGCATATGGAGGTTAAATAACTTGTCCAAAGTCATAGTGCTAGGAACTGGCAGGGCCAGGATTTGAACCCAGGTCTGTCTGGCCCCAGAGCTGGTGCTGTTATTACCTGTCATATCATTCTGGTTCATAAAATATCCTAGTTCGCCCTGTGTCAGGTAAGAGTAATCTGGTGCCTCCCAAGAGTTTCAGACAGGAGGAAGGATTTAGAATGAACCTTATCCCAAGGATATATTTCTGCATGGCATGAATGGCTCTCTGTCCTACTTGGAATTCATTTCTAACCTACTTGTGTGGTCAGAAGCTGGGGAAAGCACCTCCGCCCCAGCCTGCCTGGGACAGTGAGTGTAATTTTTCTTTTACCTTGGGAAAGAACTGCTCTTATCCTTCAATTCTGGTTTCACGTTCAGTGCCCAAGCGCACTGCCCTGGACAGAGTGAGTGTGCAGCTGCGCTGGCCGTGCAGCAGCATTTACTGCGCGGGCGCTCACTGCTGCCTTCCTGCGCGTGAGCGCGCTCAGTGCTTTCCTTTTACCATGAATTAAGTATCTATGTGAGCAAGAGGATTATATATTTTTTAGTGTCTATTATTTATACTTTTTGAATTTATTACCTATGGAAATTCGTTTGTTTTGGGAAAAAAATATACTACAGAAAAAGAAAGGAAAATGATCTATATTCTCACCACCCAAGCACTATGTATTTTGATGGGATGGTGTTGAAAATTTCATAGCTGCTTTTGAGCACACAGCCCGCGCCGCCTCATTGGCTTTCCCTGAGGAGGCCCTGGCTTTCTGGAGGCTGCACCCGACATGCCCTGTTCCCTGAAAGTGAGCAGGGCTGCCCCTCACTTCAGACCCCTTAGTGAGTGCTGGAGAGCTCCTGCTGCCCGCTTACCTATCATAGGTTGCAACACACCCTCAGCGATTTTAATGAGCTGCTGGTAGATCTGAATGGAAAGGTCACTCAGCACCTGGCGGTATTCAGTGAGGTCAAAGTTCTTAAGACAGTGCTCGTTCTGCTTGGCGGTGTTCTGAGTCATGAAGCCCTGCGGAGGAGAGGCTGGCTTTACTGATGCTCTGTGGTCTGCCCAGCTAGGCAGGAGTTCGGGGTCTCCAGGCACTTTAGCAACATCCTACTTCTCTATGTATATGACATTCGGTAGGACCCTATCATGTCACATTCCAAAGAAGGTGAGACTCACTGGGATGGAATGTCCTTTTAGTATCCCAAGCAGAAGAGTCTGTCAAACTTGCTCTGGCGCAAGAGATGGAATAAAGAAAAGCTTTAAAACTTGTGGTACTATGTTGGTTTACACCTGGCCTTGACGTTCAGGCGGGTGGAGAGTGAGCTGTGTGAAAGGAGCGGGGGAAAGGCCAGTCGAGGAGGCACATGGGGGAGGAGGGGGCGGTGTCTGGCACCAGCGGGGCTCTTACAGGCGAAGCGAGAGTGGAAGCCAAGTGTTACTGGGTGGCTGGGCTGAACGCAGAGCGTGGGAGAAGGGCTTTCAGGGACTGGAGCTGGGAATGGTGAAGTCTAGGTAGAGCTGGGTCCAGAGCAGACCATGACATAACGGGGTTCGTTGGGCCTCAAGCCAAGGAGTCAGACTGGGTCAGAAGCATGACGCTGGGCCTCAAGGTCAGTGTGTGCAAGTGTAGCTGATTTATGTTGTACCTCTTTTCTTGTGGCCACCCCCTGTGCTTTAAAATGGACAAGCTAATTGGCTGGCTTTGGAGATGGTCCGACACACTGGACGAGTGGGCTCTCCCCCAGCAGGCACTGAAATGGGCCTCTTCTAGGGCTGCCTCCGACGCTCACAGGCACAAGGGCTTCCCCGGAGAGTCCCAGGTGCTCGCCGACTGTAGGCAGGTTGTGCCAGCTCCTTTCCTGACTCTACTTACTTGATTCAGGGTGCTTTCCGGGGCCCTCAGGATG